GTCTGTCTGTGTGTGTCTGTGTGTGTGTCATGTCTGTGTCTGTCTGTCATGTGTGTCTGTGTCTGTGTCTCTGTCTGTCACCTCTGTGTCTCTGTCTGTGTCTGTATCTGTCTGTGTCTGTGTCTGTGTGTGTCTGTGCCTGTGTGTGCCTGTGTGTGTGTGTGTCTGTGTCTGTGTGTGTGTCTGTGTGTCATGTCTGTGTCTGTGTCTGTGTCTATGTCTGTGTCTGTGTCTGTGTCTGTGTGTGTGTCTGTGTGTGTCTGTGTGTGTCTGTGTCTGTCTGTGTCTGTGCATGTAGGTCTGTGTGTCTGTGTCTGTGTCTGTGTCTGTGTCTGTGTCTGTGTCTGTCTGTGTCTGTCTGTGTCATGTGTCTGTGTCTGTGTGTGTCTGTCTGTGTCTGTGTCTCTGTCTGTCTGTGTCTGTGTCTGTGTCTGTCTGTATGTGTGTCTGTGTCTGTCTGTGTGTCTATCTGCCATGTATGTGTCTCTGTGTCATCTGTGTCTGTGTCTGTGTGTCTGTGTCTGTGTCTATGTGTCTGTATCTGTGTCTGTGTCATGTCTGTGTCTGTATCTGTGTCTGTCTGTGTCTGTGTCTGTATCTGTGTCTGTGTCTGTGTCTGTGTCTATGTCTGTGTCTGTGTCTGTGTCTGTGTCTGTATGTCTGATCTGTGTCTGTGTCTGTATCTGTGTCTATGTCTGTGTCTGTGTCTGTGTCTGTGTCTGTGTCTGTGTCTGTGTCTGTGTCTGTGTCTATGTCTGTGTCTGTGTCTGTGTCTGTATCTGTGTCTGTGTCTGTGTCTATGTCTGTGTCTGTGTCTGTGTCTGTGTCTGTGTCTATGTCTGTATCTGTGTCTGTGTCTGTGTCTGTGTCTGTGTCTGTGTGTATCTGTATCTGTCCTGTGTATGTCTGTGTCTGTGTCTGTGTCTGTGTGTCTGTATATGTATCTGTGTCTGTGTCTGTGTCTGTGTCATGATCTATGTCTGTATCTGTGTCTATGTCTGTGTCTGTGTCATGATCTATGTCTGTATCTGTGTCTATGTCTGTGTCTGTGTCTGTGTCTATGTCTGTATCTGTGTCTGTGTCTGTGTGTGTGTGTGTCTATGTGTGTGTCTGTGTCTGTGTGTGTCTGTGTGTGTGTCTGTGTCTGTGTGTGTCATGTCTGTCTGTGTCTGTGATCTGTGTCTGTGCGTGTCTGTGTCTCTGTGTTCCGAACCCGTCTGTGCGTCGGTCTGGGCCTGTCTCTGCATCTTTCCAAACACTGCTAGGATACCGTATCAAATACATCAATATCGAATAAATGTTTCTTGTTTGTTTCCCATTTCCGGTGTCCACCCGCCGTCATATTGCTGGAATATTGCTAAAAAGGGCGTAAAAGTAAACGCACTCACTCACTCTTGTTTATTTCCCATTTCCGGTGTCCACCCGCCGTCATATTGCTGGAATATTGCTAAATGGGCGTAAAACTAAACGCACTCACTCACTCTTGTTTGTTTCCCATTTCCGGTGTCCACCCGCCGTCATATTGCTGGAATATTGCTAAAAAGGGCGTAAAACTAAACGCACTCACTCACTCTTGTTTATTTTCCCATTTCTGGTGTCCACCCGCCGTCATATTGCTGGAATATTGCTAAAACGGCGTAAAACTAAATGCACTCACTCACTCTTGTTTGTTTCACTTTCAGCTGCCATAAAACAACGATGTATACTTTCTTTCGCCCGTCAGTTTTATTAGCATTCTATGATTAAATTACAAAATGAATATCAATTCCTTTTCTTCTATTTGGTTGTATGTCAAGTTTGAACAACATGAGAGAAAATGTGAACGAAGCGATGCTGCGAAAGTAGTCCTGTAAAGGCTTGGGTTCACCAGGCTCGATCTACTGAGGAAATAGTTTGCGAACAGTGCACGGAGAAAGAGATTGCGTTATGACAGCAATACGAACAGCATGGCCATGAGTTAACCCGAAGACCTTGTCCTTCACGACGCCATTTTATAAAAATGACACTCAATGTTTTTGAGATTCGGGGGATGAGTTACAAAATTAGGTAGCAGGATAATTGATAACACCACGTCGCAGCCGTTGTAATCGTCGAAGTCGTCGTTTGTAAGGCACAGCGGTATGCAGTAGTGAAGTCTCGGGCGGTTGTGATTTTACCATGCCACTGGCACAACATATACAGTATAAACAAACACAATTCTTTTGGGTCTGTCGATCGCATACAAGTCCAACGCCAGACAGTACCTTGTAATAATAAACTGGACATTATTACAGCGCATCATATCCAGAGATATCCCTTCTCAAGTGCGCTTAGCCATATATCTGGAGAAATGGACGGTTTTCAAGGTGGAACGGAAGCTACTGAGTTTCTTGATTTGTCTGACAGCCAGGGGAAGCCCATTCCACAGATCGGCGCCTGCTCTACGGAAACTCCTGTCTCCAAATCGGTTTGTCCGAGGAGGCGGGACTGTTACCAGGTTCTGATCTACAGCTCTCAATGTCCTGTTCGGCTTGTGAGCTACAAGCAGTTCTTCAAGGTAAACAGGGGCTTCTCCATTGAGTGACTACTGGACAAGCGTGAGTAGTTTGACGACTATTCTTTGTCTCACTGGAAGCCAGTGTAGTTCCTTCAGCACAGGTGTTGTGTGCTCCTGTATCCTGGTCCTGGACCTGTAGTGAGAGCCTGTTGTGTAGCCTGTGACGATCGTGAACACGGTACCACACCAAGCTGTACACTGTAGTGAGAGTCTGTTGTGTAGCCTGTGACGATCGTGAACACAGTACCACACCAAGCTGTACACTGTAGTGAGAGTCTGTTGTGTAGCCTGTGACGATCGTGAACACGGTACCACACCAAGCAGTACACTGTAGCGAGAGTCTGTTGTGTAGCCTGTGACGATCGTGAACACAGTACCACGCCAAGCTGTACACTGTAGTGAGAGCCTGTTGTGTAGCATGTGACGATCGTTAACACAGTACCACGCCAAGCAGTACACTGTAGCGAGAGTCTGTTGTGTAGCATGTGACGATCGTGAACACAGTACCACGCCAAGCTGTACACTGTAGTGAGAGCCTGTTGTGTAGCATGTGACGATCGTGAACACGGTACCAAACCAAGCTGTACACTGTAGTGAGAGTCTGTTGTGTAGCCTGTGACGATCGTGAACACAGTACCACGCCAAGCAGTACACTGTAGCGAGAGTCTGTTGTGTAGCAGGTGACGATCGTGAACACGGTACCACACCAAGCAGTACACTGTAGCGAGAGTCTGTTGTGTAGCATGTGACGATCGTGAACACGGTACCACACCAAGCAGTACACTGTACATAGCGAGAGTCTGTTATGTAGCCTGTGACGATCGTGAACACGGTACCAAACCAAGCAGTACACTGTACATAGCGAGGGTCTGTTGTGTAACCTGTGACGATCGTGAACACGGTACCACACCAAAAGTTACAAAATTAGGTAGCAGGATAATTGATAACACCACGTCGCAGCCGTTGTAATCGTCGAAGTCGTCGTTTGTAAGGCACAGCGGTATGCAGTAGTGAAGTCTCGGGCGGTTGTGATTTTACCATGCCACTGGCACAACATATACAGTATATACAAACACAATTCTTTTGGGTCTGTCGATCGCATACAAGTCCAACGCCAGACAGTACCTTGTAATAATAAACTGGACATTATTACAGCGCATCATATCCAGAGATATCCCTTCTCAAGTGCGCTTAGCCATATATCTGGAGAAATGGACGGTTTTCACGGTGGAACGGAAGCTACTGAGTTTCTTGATTTGTCTGACAGCCAGGGGAAGCCCATTCCACAGATCGGCGCCTGCTCTACGGAAACTCCTGTCTCCAAATCGGTTTGTCCGAGGAGGCGGGACTGTTACCAGGTTCTGATCTGCAGCTCTCAATGTCCTGTTCGGCTTGTGAGCTACAAGCAGTTCTTCAAGGTAAACAGGGGCTTCTCCATTGAGTGACTACTGGACAAGCGTGAGTAGTTTGACGACTATTCTTTGTCTCACTGGAAGCCAGTGTAGTTCCTTCAGCACAGGTGTTGTGTGCTCCTGTATCCTGGTCCTGGACCTGTAGTGAGAGCCTGTTGTGTAGCCTGTGACGATCGTGAACACGGTACCACACCAAGCAGTACACTGTAGTGAGAGTCTGTTGTGTAGCCTGTGACGATCGTGAACACGGTACCACACCAAGCAGTACACTGTACATAGCGAGAGTCTGTTGTGTAGCCTGTGACGATCGTGAACACGGTACCAAACCAAGCAGTACACTGTACATAGCGAGAGTCTGTTGTGTAACCTGTGACGATCGTGAACACGGTACCACACCAAGCAGTACACTGTACATAGCGAGAGTCTGTTGTGTAACCTGTGACGATCGTGAACACAGTACCACACCAAGCAGTACACTGTAGTGAGAGCCTGTTGTGTAGCCTGTGACGATCGTGAGCATGGTACCACACTAAGCAGTACACTGTAGCGAGAGTCTGTTGTGTAGCCTGTGACGATCGAGAACACAGTCCCACGCCAAGCTGTACACTGTAGCGAGAGTCTGTTGTGTAGCCTGTGACGATCGTGAACACAGTACCACGCCAAGCTGTACACTGTAGTGAGAGCCTGTTGTGTAGCCTGTGACGATCGTGAGCATGGTACCACACCAAGCAGTACACTGTAGTGAGAGTCTGTTGTGTAGCCTGTGACGATCGTGAACACAGTACCACGCCAAGCTGTACACTGTAGTGAGAGTCTGTTGTGTAGCATGTGACGATCGTGAACACAGTACCACGCCAAGCTGTACACTGTAGTGAGAGTCTGTTGTGTAGCCTGTGACGATCGTGAACACGGTACCAAACCAAGCTGTACACTGTAGTGAGAGTCTGTTGTGTAGCCTGTGACGATCGTGAACACAGTACCACGCCAAGCAGTACACTGTAGCGAGAGTCTGTTGTGTAGCAGGTGACGATCGTGAACACGGTACCAAACCAAGCAGTACACTGTACATAGCGAGAGTCTGTTATGTAGCCTGTGACGATCGTGAACACGGTACCACACCAAGCTGTACACTGAAGTGAGAGTCTGTTGTGTAGCCTGTGACGATCGTGAACACAGTACCACGCCAAGCTGTACACTGTAGTGAGAGTCTGTTGTGTAGCCTGTGACGATCGTGAACACGGTACCAAACCAAGCAGTACACTGTACATAGCGAGAGTCTGTTGTGTAACCTGTGACGATCGTGAACACGGTACCACACCAAGCAGTACACTGTACATAGCGAGAGTCTGTTGTGTAACCTGTGACGATCGTGAACACAGTACCACACCAAGCAGTACACTGTAGTGAGAGCCTGTTGTGTAGCCTGTGACGATCGTGAGCATGGTACCACACTAAGCAGTACACTGTAGCGAGAGTCTGTTGTGTAGCCTGTGACGACCGAGAACACTGTCCCACGCCAAGCAGTGCACTGTAGCAAGAGCCTACTTGTATATTCTGTTACAATGGAAAGCAGAGGTCCGCACAGGCATTTCAGCCGTTTCTTCACTAACAGTATCTTTCATTATTGTTTGAGCCAGTATGCGAAATAGTCACTGGTCCGCGCTAGCCCGTGGCTAGTAAACTCCAGTCGGTCCAGTAAATCTCCACGGTCACAGGCCCGACTGCCCAGTGAATTGTCATTGGGTCATTTTGTAAATATATCACTCTCTCCGACTTGTTAAGTTATAACACTTTTAAATCATACAACATTATGGCCTCTTTGATTGGCATTCTAGAAGTTGTGCGGACATTATGGCCTTATAAAAATGTTCATCATGTTAGCAGCTAAACCGGTACCAGAATTCCGGTGACAAGCGTATATTCAAGAAACAGTTCTGGTTCCAAATTGCGCGACCGTCAAATATGACTTTACTAGACTGGACCAAGTGTACAACCATGCTTGGCTGTCACAGCTGTTGACAGTTGTAATAGTTGGCTAATTTGGGGATGTTTGGTCGGAAATTTGTAATTCCTGCAATGATCATCGGTTCCTTACTATCTACTGACAACCATGAGACCATTCGAAAAGGAATGAAACGTTGTTGTCACCGGAAGTACTAAGGTCTCGCGAAGTGCCGTAACCTACTTATGGGCCCTATTCCTGGCCGTGTTTACCCCCGTTGTTTGACCTCAATCATCATATTACTGTACCTATGCCATAGCAGTTTCATCGTTCAGGCGGACGACACGTAAACATGGCAAGAATCTCTGTCCGCACCTGCTTGCTCATTACTCCATAAACGATTGGGTTGGTGACGCTTCCCAGAAGAAATATGTACCTGAAGGTCAGGTTCTCCAAAGATGCGAAGACATCAATCCAGAAGGGTACCCACACCAAGACATAGATGAGTGTGCACACAAATAGCATTGTCCCTGCTTTGCTGCTTGTCCGTTGTTTTATATGATGTTTACCGCTTCGAAACGATTGTTTCCTGGATTGGATGGAATAAATAGGCATCACCTGTAGGTGTCTGGATTTACGGGTGTCCACTTCCGGTGTCGCGTTGGCGCTGGTTCCTTCTGGGGCGTGGTTCCATCTGCTCACCTTCGTACTGGTAACTGATGCCGTGTTGGACTGTTGACTTAAGTCAGTCATCCGAACAGGGCCCACACGGTTCTGGCGCCAGTGGGATCGATTCAGAACAACCCGAAAAACAAGGGGATATATGACAGCAAATATCACCAGCCCCACCACGAATGAGAACAGCAATATACCTTGATAGACCAAAGATCCAATATCACCGAGTGTGTCTGTTGTGAAGTGACAATATTCCATGCTTTCCACAGCGTCGATGCATGCTGTTCCTTGAGTTGTAGCGACGTCACTTCCGGTTGCACTTTCTGTACTTCCGGTTGCACTTTCTGTACTTCCAGTTTCAGGTATGCATACCTCCTTATAGACTTTAAATATAGTAACTGCCGGAAAGGCAAGAACAATGCTGATGATGAATGACACGATAACAATAACCCGGAGACGTCTACAGTTCAAGCGCTTCAAGGGTTTACATATGGCGAAATACCTTTCAATGGCAATCGAAATCAAAATCGTGTTTGAATACAATACCAGAACATGTCGGATCATCTCCACCAAGCGGCAAACGAAGTCAACCCGGATAAGGTGCATCTCGAACACAATCGTGTACGGTATGATGACTGCACATACTATAAGGTCTACAATACTCAATATCTTAATAAATAACGTGTGCGTCAGCTTGACGCGCTCCCTGAAGTACACTATGCTGATCAGTACGTTACCAATAGTACCTACCACTCCATACAGGCTGAGTGTCACGATGAACGGGATAAAACTCAGTTCTTTCGACATTTTCAAGCTTTGGTGTTGGTGTTTCTTCAAACAAATCAAGAACAATTCTCTTCGCTCTTGACTTTCTAGAACATGATGTAAACAGGTTGTTGTCGTACACGTGAGAAGGGGGTCTGTTTGGAATGTGTGTCAAGATATGTCACTGTGTGATTACCAACTGCTTCTTTCAATTTAAAAAACGTTCAGGTTGTTCCACAACTTCTTGCACACAAACGTCATTGGAATATGGAAAGTGTCACTTTTGAAAATCAATTTTCGACTCATTCACTTGAAGAGACATTACAGCCAGACCGGAAACAGCACTCAGTGTTCATGCTGTGTTTACCAATAGCTTCTTCCATGAAATGTACTCAAGCTCAGGTTGTCCTGTATTTGGAATAAGGAAAGTGTCACTTTTACAATTTTCGACTCATTCACATGAAGAGACATTACGGCCAGACCAGAAACAGCTGTCAGTGTTCATACTGTGTTTACCAATAGCTTCTTCCATGAAATGTACTCAAGCTCAGGTGGTCCTGTATTTTCTTACATACAAGCGTCACTCCTTTGAACTGTGAACGATGTGGTCACGTTTGACCCATTCACTGGTACGGTTCCACAGTTGAGAAGTGTATTTAAATTGTTCACCCATTGGTGATTTGAATCACAAAGTTCATCATAGACCACCCTCTTCACAATCACATCCAGATTTCGGATTGACAGCTGTTGGTACTTCTTCACTCTGAAACCAAGATACACATATAAGGTTCACGACTTATTGCATTTGGGTACAATATGACTCATGCCGACACCAGGACACCGTATAAACTAAAAACATTTATTTATAATAATTATAATAAGTAATAAATAGTTATTTCATAATAACCGACATTCAATCTCGATGCTAGAAAAGGTGTTACTCGGTGGTTTTGGCTAGCGACAGCTGAAAGAGTTGAGTTGAGTTGGGCTTTACGTCACATCGGCATTATTCCAGCCATATAGTGACGAGATCAAGTCTACATTCATAAATTTTTAAGTACAAAGTCTAAATGAGTTTTAGTTTGAAAACATATATACTCATGCCAATAATGGTTGTCACCCCCCTCCCCACCCCAATCCCACACACCCACACCCCACACCCCCTCTCCAATAAAATAAATTGAAGGGGTGACAACCATTATTGGCATGAGTATATATTCATGGCATTATTATTTAAAAACAGAAAATGTCGTAGCATGCAGCAGAAAGACATTTCATCATCAAGTTACTGGTCTAATAATACCTTATTTTGCTAAGTAAGAAATCGTGTTTCCCAGCATGTATGACTTGACATTAGAGACATTTTATTTGGTCGTTCATCAACTGAGCAGCTGTTCGATTAGGAACATGTATGACGACCTTGCGTCCTTTGGTGGACGGAGACCGCCTCCGTGGTGTAGTGGTTAGAGCGTCCGCCCGGAGAGCGGAAGGTCGCGGATTTGATCCCCGACCGCGTCATACCAAAAGACGTTAAAATATGGTACTTGTTGGTCCCTGTCTGGCGCTCGGCATTAATGGGTACAACAAGGACCGGTCGGCTCGGAGTCAGTATAATGTGTCTGAGTGGGGTATTCATGCTTCACTGCGGCATGGTATCTCAGTGGGCTAGCACTATAATAACCAGCTTCAGTCTGGGCTAGTACAAGCAGCCGCACATACACATACACTAGCATGCACGTCGTCATATGAGCGAATTATTCTCCAGCACGACGTTAAACCCAATTTCACCTCACCTCACCTTTGGTGGACGGTCCAAGATGATCTTCTCAGACTAATAATATTGTTAAGTGAGGCTTTAAATCCACAAACCAACAGTTGGCCACTTAAATCCGAAGTGCAGTCTCTTTTTAGAGATTTTTATGTTCATAGAATCACCCATATACTGACGTAAAATAAGCCAACTGAGTCTGCTTGGGCATTGTGTCAGTGATGGCTTCAAAGGGTATGGCAAAGGCTTTGTCAGAAAACACTAGTTAATTATGTAAATTAATTTGTTTCTGACAATGATTCAATAAATGAATAATGAATTACGTCACATAGAGGTTGCTGACCAGGGTACAAGTGTATAGCAGGAATGGACGACTTCGGTCGACGGAGTGGGTGAGGTAATACGACGCTTTTAGCAATATTCCAGCAATAGCACGTTGGGGACACCAGAAATGGGCTTCAACACATTGTACCCGTATGGGGAATCGAACCCGGATCTTCGTTGTGATGAGCGAACGCTTCAACCACTACGCTATCCGACCGCCACGGTCAACGAAAGTATGACGTCATTCAGTTAACATGAGCCCTCATTGAACAACCAAAGTCCAGCACGGTTTCAGCCATGTCGTGGGGGATATCAAGTCGAATCAAGCAGTTTCTTCTGTCGCAACAATTATCCATCGATAATTAATTTCATCTTCACCTTGGCATTTTGGCTTGTCAACATAGTGGACGACACTTATCCATCAAAACTCCATTTCATCTTCACCTTGGCATTTTGGCTTGTCAAGAGAGTGGGCGAAGTCCTTAACCATAACAAGGTATAGTTACAGAAAAGTCGTGTCATATAACAATTATTTGTGTGAAGTGTTTTGCTTGCGGGCTGTGGACACTGTTAGTTACAGCTCTTGTTACAGATCTAGTTACGGCAGAGCTATATCAGGTAACATATATTATGAAGTGATTTGCTTGCGGCGCTAGACGTTTCACCTAATTTTTCTGCTAAGCTCATCGCTGAAGAGATGTGTTTTATTTTGTCTTATACATGTATAATGTTGAGTACGGAAGAACGTCACAACACACTCCATATTGTATTTGTGTTTGTTTAGCTGTTCTGGTGCACACACGAAAACTGATAAAGTGAGTGAATGAGTGAGTTTCGTTTTACGCCGCATTCAGCAATATTCCAGCTATATGGCAACAGGCTGTAAATAACCGAGTCTGGACCAGACCCAATGATCAACAGCATGAGCATCGATCTGCGCAATTGGAAACCGATGACATGATTGTGTCAACCAAGTCAGCGAGCCTGACCACCCGATCCCGTTAGTCGCCTCTTACGACAAGCATGGGTTACTGAAGATCAATATTCTAACCCGGATCTTCACGGGTTAAAACTGATAAAGAGTAGGACTGCACGGTATTACAGGTATACCGGTATATCGCGATACGTTTTTCAAACGATGCGTGTTGCAATATTTTTTCTGAGAACCAGTATATTGGGTAAAGAACATATATGAAGTATTTTGTTATTACCTTTATGGTTTAAATTAAAATCTACACACACTTTCATTCACAACAAATGTTTCATTCATCATTTAATGAGAAAACGGCATTCTGTAATACAATAAGTTGCATGAAACAGAAAATAGAAGCATGACTATACAACCTAATTTTGAGAGTGCTGTTAACAGAACCATAACATATACGTTTAGAGACTTATAATGTAGAAAATAGGATTGACATGCACAATTAGTGTCGCTCACTGTCAAACACTTAAGCTCTTATTATATCGTAATACGTATCGCAATACGGGCACCCGAATCGCACATGCACTTTATTTGCCAATAAACAGCCCTAATAGAAAGTTCACTAAAGGGAGAAAAGTTTTCAATTTTGAGTAACAAAACCTTTTCGTAGGTTTCTGGTGTGATGGGGAAGTAATTATCATGAAGATGTAACCATATACTCCGAAAGTGGTGTTCCTCTTAATAAAACATTTGACATACGTAAATTTTCTCCTTTATCTGACGATTGTGACATCATTTGAATACTGAAACTAGGTTTTTTAGTAAAAATATAATTCAATCTGCTCGCGTAGATATGACGTCACGCTAACGTTGTCAATCTAAAAACCGATGGCCACGAAAACATCGTCTTAAAACACACCAGGCATTATCTGTTAGCATTTGGTTTTAACGAATTACTTCTTAAATTCTATTATTTTATTTGTTTACAGTATATGAGGAAATCGTGCATGTTGTCTCTTTAACGTGCGGTATATGCATGCTACCTCTCATTTGTCGCTGTTTTTCTATATCCATATGTCTACAGCGAATAATAAACAACTCCATTAAAAGTTTCCTATGCAGGTTATTGTCAGCGATCAAATGAGTGTACATGTACTACCCTTTTTTATGCTGTTTGGGATTTTTTTAATCGAAGACGTGTTTTTCAGAGTTTTCCATCGCCATGGTCAATTCGATTGGAAGATCTAATGTGGATAGCGAGATGCTCTTAGGTCCCGGATTCAATTATCCTAACGTTCCTTGCATGATGCCTCGTCATTATAATTTTTTGTTCGAAAACTGGGTACTTTCTGTGATGTAAATACATCTCCTGGTAACCGACCCAAGGAACTTGATACGTTCCACGTGCCATTAGCTGTGTTCTTTGATAAGTATAGATTGTTTAAATTACCAAATAATTTACAATCAGACGTTTCGTGTTTGAACACCTGATTTAGAATGAATAATGTCTTTAGATAGAGAACACACAGGCTACATCGTACGTCGCAACATCAATATCAATGTTTAGTGTTATCAGTGAGTGAATATGGTTTTACGCCGCTTTTAGCAATATTCCAGCAACATCATGGCGGGGGACACCGGAAATGGGCTTCACACATTGTACCCATGTGGGAAACGAACCCGGACCTTCGGCGTGACCGAGGCTACCCCATCCCCTAGTATTTATGGTGACCGAGAGGGGACATCGATTCTTGTGAAAAAGGAAATTGTTTCCTGGCTTTGAAGCAGTTGCAGATAATATATGCAGTCCCCACTCACCCTCTCACCCCATCACCCCCTCAACACTATCACCACCAGCACCGACCACCCCTCGCGCCTCCATTATCAGATTGTCGGTCCCTCACTGCTTATGGTCTGTCTGTGACGTCACACTAAGCTAAATATCAACACCCATTTGGAAAATGACATTAATTATCACTGGACGAAGCTAACTGTTTCATCTACCAAGACAAAATCCATTATCGCTACACGACACAAGGGCTTGATGTTTCCAAGCCTGGACCAGCTGTAGGAGACTTGTCTTGATGGGATGATGTTTGTGGATTGTCATAATTCAGTTTAGAAAGGTAATTATGGCTCCCCATCGACATTCTTGCTACTTTATTTGTCAACCTATACATTAAGTCAGGAGAACAGAAGAAGATACCAAACCATAAAGAGACATTCAACCTTTCTATAATATGCCACATGTTTACTGCAACATATTGTGATATCGCTTGTGTGAGATACTGCAACACATTGTGATATCGCTTGTGTGAGATACTGCAACACATTGTGATATCGCTTGTGTGAGATTACAGTTACCACAACTGTTAGAATAAGTCTGAAACAAACACTTTCTGGTCATGCAAAGTGAGTGGGTGAGTGAATATGGTTTTAAGCCGCTTTATTCCAGCAAGATCACGGTGGGGGACACCAGAAATGAGCTTCACAAATTGTACCCATGTGGAGAACCGAACCCGGTCTTCTGCGTGACGAGTGAACGCTTTAACCACTGAGCTACATAACGCCTTATGCAAAGTGTGTAGGTGACAGTGGGTGACAGGCATGCTTACCCTTTTTGCGAACACCAAGTTTTATTACCGCGTTTCGATGAACCATTCATGTGTCATGGGACGCCTTCACTTATTGAACCCTTTACCAGCTGTACATGCTAACAGACATGTGATTGTTTGCACTTTGAAATTCTGCTGCAACTGATCCAGAATTACATGTGTCAGTTAGCAGGTACGTATTCACACTTCATTGCATTTATGGCTAATCAATATACGTGGCATATCAGAGAGGAACACAAAATACGTGATCAACACAACCAGCTGTCGCTCCACCAAATGTTTTGATTTTCTTGACGTAGCAATAAATGATGTGAATATTTATCCTTTGTTTTGGTCACTTTTATGAAAGAAGCTTTACACAGGTGTATATCAGTAGATCGGTTAGAAAAATACACTATACGACAATGCAAGATGAACAGTGACATGAGCTAGAACAACTGTTATTTACAGGAACGGTGTAGAATATTCCTACATAACAGTACTGGGTAGAACAATCCTTTCCCATGTTGCCCATTTCAATACCCTCTGTCTATATACATACATGTTCACTATGTCAAAACTCTCTGTTTCTATACATTTTCCCCATGTTAATACTCCCTGTCTATATACATGTCCCCCATGTCAATACTCTCTGTCAATATACATGTTCCCCATGTCAATACTCTCTGTCTATATACATGTTCCCCATGTCAATACTCTCTGTCAATATACATGTTCCCCATGTCAATACTCTATGTCTATATACATGTTCCCTATGTCAATACTCCCTGTCTATATACATGTTCCCCATGTCAATACTCTCTGTCTATATACATGTTCCCCATGTCAATACTCTCTGTCTATATACATGTTCCCCATGTCAATACTCCCTGTCTATATACATGTTCCCCATATCAATACTCTCTGTCTATATACATGTTCCCCATGTCAATACTCTCTGTCTATATACATGTTCCCCATGTCAATACTCTCTGTTTCTATACATGTTCCCCATGTCAATACTCTCTGTCTATATACATGTTCCCCATGTCAATACTCTCTGTCTATATACATGTTCCCCATGTCAATACTCCATGTCAATACTCTCTGTCTATATACATGTTCCCCATGCCAATACTCTCTGTCTATATACATGTTCCCCATGTCAATACTCTCTGTCTATATACATGTTCCCCATGTCAATACTCTCTGTCTATATACATGTTCCCCATGTCAATACTCTCTGTCTATATACATGTTCCCCATGTCAATACTCTCTGTCTATATACACGTTCCCTATGTCAATACTCTCTGTTTCTATACATGTTCCCCATGTCAACACTCTCTGTCAATATACATGTTCCCCATGTCAATACTCTCTGTCTATATACATGTTCCCCATGTCAATACTCTCTGTCTATATACATGTTCCCTATGTCAATACTCTCTGTCTGTATACATGTTCCCCATGTCAATACTCTCTGTCTATATACATGTTCCCCATGTCAATACTCTCTGTCTATATACATGTTCCCCATGTCAATACTCTCTGTCAATATACATGTTCCCCATGTCAATACTCTCTGTCAATATACATGTTCCCCATGTCAATACTCTCTGTCTATATACATGTTCCCCATGTCAATACTCTCTGTCTATATACATGTTCCCTATGTCAATACTCTCTGTCTATATACATGTTCCCCATGTCAATACTCTCTGTTTCTATACATGTTCCCCATGTCAATACTCTCTGTCTATATACATGTTCCCCATGTCAATACTCTCTGTCTATGTACATGTCCCCCATGTCAATACTCTCTGTCTATATACATGTTCCCGATGTTAATACTCTCTGTCTATATACATGTTCCCAATATCAATACTCTCTGTCTATGTACATGTTCCCATCGACAATGCTCTCTGCCTATATAAATGCTCCCGATGTCAATACTCTCTGTCTATATACATGTTCCCCATGTCAATACTCTCTGTCTATATACATGTTCCCCATGTCAATACTCTCTGTCTATGTACATGTTCCCTATGTCAATACTCTCTGTCTATATACATGTTCCCCATGTCAATACTCTCTGTCTATATACATGTTCCCCATGTCAATACTCTCTGTCTATATACATGTTCCCCATGTCAATACTCTCTGTCTATATACATGTCCCCATGTCAATACTCTCTGTCTATATACATGTTCCCGATGTTAATACTCTCTGTCTATATACATGTTCCCCATGTCAATACTCCCTGTCTATTCACATGTTCCCCATATCAATACTCCCTGTCTATATACATGTTCCCCATATCAATACTCACTGTCTATTCACATGTTCCCCATATCAATACTCACTGTCTATTCACATGTTCCCTATGTCAATACTCTCTGTCTATATACATGTTCCCCATATCAATACTCACTGTCTATTTACATGTTCCCCATGTCAATACTCTCTGTCTATGTACATGTTCCCATCGACAATGCTCTCTGCCTATATAAATGCTCCCGATGTTAATACTCCTTGTCTATATACATGTTCCCCATATCAATACTCACTGTCTATTCACATGTTCCCTATGTCAATACTCACTGTCTATTCACATGTTCCCTATGTCAATACTCACTGTCTATATACATGTCCCCCATGTCAATACTCCCTGTCTATATACATGTTCCCACTGTCAATACTCACTGTCTATTCACATGTTCCCTATGTCATTTCTGCCTATCCATGTCCATGTTCCCAGGTCCATACATGTCCATACATAGACAGAATCAGCCACGTAGGATATTCACAAGGTTCCAGCTTTCAGGAAAAACATCTAGGAGTTTGGAGTGTTGCTAAAGTACAACTTCATCATCTGCATCTGAATAAATAGAATGGCTTGAGCGTTCGACCACAGCAAGTCTGTAGGTAAGTGACAACATCTGGCATTACAAAGTACTCAATACGTCGGCTTCCCCTTGGTTGTGTTTGATACTGTTACTTGACATTGATCAGGACACACATTTACGTGGTAGCTAAGTTTAAGTGACTGCTAACATGCTTTTATTCAGTGGTAATGTAACTGAACATCTTCATTACCCATTGGTATACCGATCAGCTGATGCCATAATGATGTTCACTCGAAAGTAACGCTTTAACCACTAGGCTACCCCCCAGCCCTTTTCACATCTGAAAGTACTGTACTGGCGTTTAATCACCCTGTGAGAATTTTCTACGGGGTATTATTTTTTCTCTAAATAGAAACTGATTAAAACTTTTCCAGATCGAAAACGAAAGTTGCTTAATACACAACTGTTGGAAGGTATCTTAGAGATAGAAAATATTTTAATTTTATCCCCACAAATTTATAGCATTTCCTGGGGTCAGGTGTTTCCATTTATTTATACTCCACTGTTCAATGAATCAATTAATTTGCCTTGTGGGTCGGGGCCTGTAGCTGAAATTCATTTCTTATCCCAGTCTTAATTAAACCGGGCGGTGAGGTAGCCTAGTGGTAAAAGCGTTCTCTCGTCATACCGAAGACCCGGGTTCGATTCCCCACCTGGGTACAATGTGTGAAGCCCATTTCTGGTGTCCCCAGCCGTGATATTGCTGGAATATTGCTAAAAGCGGCGTAAAACCATACTCACTCACTCCCTCACTTAATTAAACCAATTATTTTTACATTAATTCCCCAGGCAAAGACTACTTTTCACAAACTGCTGAAGGGACGAGTGGTGATTATGACAGGCATCCGTGAAGATCGACGTTAAACAAACAAACAGCATCGATGAAGTAAACATTCGGAGATCTCGGAAACGTCATGAATTGTAATGGTGTGTGGTCATGTGCATAGAGCCCAGGTCAGAAATCAGTTGAAGTCAAGCAACTTTGGTCACGGAGAGTCCGTGGATGGTGTGACAGTGTTTGGCAGCTAGACTCCTGAGACTTTTCTTGGACAAAGGGCCACTAGTGGCACCATCGATGAAGTAAACATTCGGAGATCTCTGAAACGTCTTGAATTGTAATGGTGTGCGGTCATGTGCATAGAGCCCAGGTCAGAAATCAGTTGAAGTCAAGCAACTTTGGTCACGGAGAGTCCGTGGATGGTGTGACGGTGTTTGGCAGCTAGACTCCTAAGACTTTTCTTGGACAAAGGGCCACTAGTGGCACCATCGATGAAGTAAACATACGGAGATCTCGGAAACGTCTTGAATTGTAATGGTGTGTGGACATGTGCATAGAGCCCAGGTCAGAAATCAGTTGAAGTCAAGCAACTTTGGTCACGGAGAGTCCGTGGATGGTGTGACGGTGTTTGGCAACTAGACTCCTGAGACTTTTCTTGGACAAAGGGCCACTAGTGGCACCATCGATGAAGTAAACATTCGGAGATCTCGGAAACGTCGTGAATTGTAATGGTGTGTGGTCATGTGCATAGAGCCCAAGTCAGAAATCAGTTGAAGTCAAGCTACTTTGGTCACGGAGAGTCCGTGGATGGTGTGACGGTGTTTGGCAGCTAGACTCCTGAGACGTTTTTAGGACTTCTGTCCCATAAAGGACACGCGACACATGTGGTCTTCCTTGGGGATGTGAGTTTGCATTCAAAACAGAGTTCCCGGTGATATTAGTCCTGACTATTTACCTTCTAGCGTCTCAATGCAGCTTGGGTAATCCGGGGTAATAATGCCCATTTTGTTTTATGCTCTTAGAGCATGTCCGTGCGGCGTGGAGCTCAGCGCTATATAAGTGGCCTTATTATCATTTATTCAGGTTAACGTCCATGCTAAAAGCATTGGCCTGATCGGCAAATGAATGACAAAGATTAAGAAGTCCATTGTGCAACACATGGGTATCCTTCAAGGTTGACTATTTTCTAAAGGTCACGGCTCCATCTTGTTTTACTCAATCAACAGAGTCAAACTATTTGCTCAAATGATTCATATTTTGTAGATATACAACGTACATCTATGTCATTACGTATAGTCCGCAATAAAGGATTCCACCATTACGCAATTGCCTCTATTATCATCTTCATCTTCTTCCCTTCCGGACACCTATATACCCACCACCTCACATATCTACCCTTCCGGACACCTATCTAACTACCACCTCACATGTCTACCCTTCCGGACACCTACCTACCCTTCCGGACACCTATCTAACCACCACCTCACATATCTACCCTTCCGGACACCTATTTAACCACCACCTCAGATATCTACCCCTTCTCCGGACACCTATCTAACTACCACCTCAGATATCTACCCTTCCGGACACCTATCTAACTACCACCTCAGATATCTACCCTTCCGGACACCTATCTAACCACCACCTCACATATCTACCCTTCCGGACACCTATCTAACTACCACCTCACATGTCTACCCTTCCGGACACCTACCCACCCTTCCGGACACCTATCTAACCACCACCTCACATATCTACCCTTCCGGACACCTATCTAACCACCACCTCAGATATCTACCCTTCCGGACACCTATCTAACCTACCACCTCACATGTCTACCCTTCCGGACACCTCAGATATCTACCCTTACCCTTCCGGACACCTATCTAACTACCACCTCACATATCTACCCTTCCGGACACCTATCTAACCACCACCTCACATATCTACCCTTCCCGACACCTATCTAACTACCACCTCAGATATCTACCCTTCCGGACACCTATCTAACCACCACCTCACATATCTACCCTTCCGGACACCTATCTAACTACCACCTCAGATATCTACCCTTCCGGACACCTATCTAACCACCACCTCACATATCTACCCTTCCAGACACCTATCTAACTACCACCTCACATGTCTACCCTTCCGGACACCTATCTAACCACCACCTCACATATCTACCCTTCCGGACACCTACCTACCCTTCCCGACACCTATCTAACTACCACCTCACATATCTACCCTTCTGGACACCTATCTAACTACCACCTCACATATCTACCCTTCTGGACACCTATCTAACCACCATCTCAGATATCTACCCTTCCGGACACCTATCTAACCACCACCTCACATATCTACCCTTCCGGACACCTACCTACCCTTCCCGACACCTATTTAACTACCACCTCACATATCTACCCTTCCCGACACCTATCTAACTACCACCTCACATGTCTACCCTTCCGGACACCTATCTAACTACCACCTCAGATGTCTACCCTTCCGGACACCTATCTAACCACCACCTCAGATATCTACCCTTCCGGACACCTATCTACCCTTCCCGACACCTATCTAACTACCACCTCACATATCTACCCTTCTGGACACCTATCTAACTACCACCTCACATATCTACCCTTCTGGACACCTATCTAACTACCACCTCACATATCTACCCTTCTGGACACCTATCTAACTACCACCTCACATATCTACCCTTCCGGACACCTATCTAACCACCACCTCACATGTCTACACATCCGGGTTTCCCTGGCGGCAAACCATCGCTAGAGGCTAGGCACGGTGTCAGTACAGGCTGATGTACATTACTCCTAGTTCCTGTCGTATCAATAAGTTACCCCAACGTGCTACAAATGACTTCGGAGCAGTGGGGTAGCTTAGTGGTTATAGCGTTCGCTCGGCACACCTAAGACCCGGGTTCGAGTCCCCACGCAGGTACAATGTGTGAAGCCCATTTCTAGTGTCCCCCGTCGTGATATTGCTGGAATATTGCTAAAAGCGGCGTAAAAACTAAACTCACTCACTCACTACTGATGACTGTGGAGGTTGCACCAAGCGCACCTTACTGCCTATAGCAACACACATTGTTCTATATGAGTATGTAAAATAACACAAGTGAAGTTTCCTTTTTTGCTTAGTGTATCTTTGAGACATGAAATGAAAAGAGTTTCTTTTATGCCTTGTAAGGATTATGTCCGGATGGCATAGACGGGCGGGTACTCTTGGCATGCCATGGGTATATTAGACCTCCGTGCCTTCTGCAAATTCGTCTCCTCCAAGATTTCATTGTTCGGTTCAACAGATCACTTTGACCCAATATTTGAGTTTTTAATTATGCATTTAAAATACTTTATATATATAAGTCTCATTATACCGATATCAAAGTTTCTATATAGCATGTCATTATAGATTTGTAATATGCCTTGGAAATATACTCATGCCAATAATGGTTGTCACCCCCTTCAATTTTTTAATTGAGAGGGGTGTGTGGGGTGGAGGTGTGGTGTGTGTGGGTTGGGGTGGGAGGGGAGGGGGGTGACAGCCATTATTGGCATGAGTATATATAAACATTCAAAGGAAAACTTTAAGTATCTAGAAGCATTTCATTTCATTGTGACTATGATTAAGGCTTTGTAACACTTCACAGCCTCAAGTTAAGACACCTGTTTTTTTTCTGAGAGTAAAATATATTTAATAACACTTTTCCATAGATACGAACTCGTATACAATATAATAATAATAAATGTGAATTTATAATGTGTGTTTTCCATGTACAAGGCGCATACTCAAAGCGGTAACACACAATCTTAATATATTACTCCGGATAACCCATGCTTCCTGTGAGGCGCTAGAAGGTTAATAGTCACATGACTTATCCCACCGGGTACCCATTTTCTGCTCGGTGAACAGATGCAAGTTTGAACAAACTCTTATACCAAATACGTCAACAATATCTACTCTATCTTCAACTTGAATATGGATACAGAATATCGAACCTAGTGGTTAACCTAGGGTAGCCTAGTAGTTAAGGCGTTCGCTCGTCACGCCGAAGACCCGGGTTCAATTCCCCACATGGGTACAATGTGTGATGCCCATTTCTGGTGTCCCCCGCCGTGATATTGCTGGAATATTGCTAACAGCGGTGTAAAACCACACTCA